CTCAGTGTGTACGTCCTATACGATCATTTCCTGATAACGATGAAGCCATAGCCCCGCCTCTGCTGCTCACTGCAGTAGCATGGTCAGTAGCTACTGCTAGTGCTACTGCTACTGACCATGCTACAGATGTTAGTGCAACATCTACAGCTCCTCTACCACAACCATCAGCAACAAGTGGACATGGAGACATGAACTACATGTTGCTAAATCCACCGCGGGGCATAAACAGAAGGGTAGCCATGGCAACCATGCTCAGGGGTCTTCTTCGCTGCTTTTGGTGTATGTTGTGGCAGAAGTACAGCGCCACTTACAGGCCCGGCATTTGTACTACAGCGTCTCCAGTGGTCTCGTGTGAACGGACACGTTAAATGAGCCGAATGCGTGTGAACGGAAGACTTTTTTGATAACGAGTTCGGTCTGTTTGCGTTTGCGCTCCCGTGTAAATGGGGTCTAAAGTATTTTTCAATACAGCATGGTGTTTGTTTTATAATCGATGGTCCCATTAAGAGTAAAGTAGAGGAGAAAGCAGATTGCATAGAAGTCTATGAGGAAAGGACCCTCACAGTAGAAGCACTCGAATATGAACCTGAACATGATCAGAAAAGCCCCTTTCTTATGCCCACCTGTTATCTCCTCTGTTATGTCATGCCTGAGTTCCCCTCATCAATGACCTCATCAGTGACCTCATTAATAATGTAATCAGCACAGCCTGACCTCCACACACCAATCTCTGCAGCCTCATTAATAACCGCTCATAACTTCATCTCTCCATCAGGTTCTTATTGGCATCAACATCTCTTATTCCCCCTCTCTCTGTTGGTCCTCTCAGAGGTGTGAAGTAGTGGAGTACAAATACTTTGTTACTGTACTTAAGTACATGTTTCTGGTATCAGTACTTTACTCCACTACTTATTTTTCTGACGACTTTTTACTTTGGCTTCTTACATGTTGAACACAAATACCTGTACTTTCTACTTCTTACATGTTGAACACAAATACCTGTACTTTCTACTTCTTACATGTTGAACACAAATACCTGTACTTTCTACTTCTTACATGTTGAACACAAATACCTGTACTTTCTACTTCTTACATGTTGAACACAAATACCTGTACTTTCTACTTCTCACATGTTGAACACAAATACCTGTACTTTTACTTCTTACATGTTGAACACAAATACCTGTACTTTCTACTTCTTACATGTTGAACACAAATACCTGTACTTTCTACTTCTTACATGTTGAACACAAATACCTGTACTTTCTACTTCTTACATGTTGAACACAAATACCTGTACTTTCTACTTCTTACATGTTGAACACAAATACCTGTACTTTCTACTTCTCACATGTTGAACACAAATACCTGTACTTTCTACTTCTTACATGTTGAACCCAAATACCTGTACTTTCTACTTCTCACATTTCCCAAACAGGCTGGTTCCTTTAGTTTGAATGTGTGTTTGGTGGCGTGATCATTATTATTTAGAGTCATTGCGTGCCTATTGATTTGAACACGATCCGTGTATCCATCATTTCCTGGTCTTCTCTAAAGAAGAGGGACCAATGAAAACGTTGTCATGTTGCCGTTGTTCAGCATGGAAACATTCATTAGCTAACAATGACATTATTGTTCTATTAATATAAAGGGAGGTCAGGTACTCTTTAAAACAGCTGCTAGTTATGGGTACTTTTTACTGAAGTACATTTCAAAGCCTCTTTACTTTTACTTGAGTAAAGAAGTTTAGTCAGTACTTCTACTTTCACCAGAGTAAAGGATGTGTGTACTTCTACTTGAGTAAAGGATGTGTGTACTTCTACTCGAGTAAAGGATGTGTGTACTTCTACTTGAGTAAAGGATGTGTGTACTTCTACTCGAGTAAAGGATGTGTGTACTTCTACTTGAGTAAAGGATGTGTGTACTTCTACTCGAGTAAAGGATGTGTGTACTTCTACTTGAGTAGAGGATGTGTGTACTTCTACTCGAGTAAAGGATGTGTGTACTTCTACTTGAGTGAAGGATGTGTGTACTTCTACTCGAGTAAAGGATGTGTGTACTTCTACTTGAGTAAAGGATGTGTGTACTTCTACTCGAGTAAAGGATGTGTGTACTTCTACTTGAGTAAAGGATGTGTGTACTTCTACTTGAGTAAAGGATGTGTGTACTTCTACTTGAGTAAAGGATGTGTGTACTTCTACTTGAGTAAAGGATGTGTGTACTCTCACCATGAAACAAAGCTCTGTTTGCCTTAAGAGTCGTTGTTAAAGAGCAGAAACATGCACTGTGTGTTTGTGTTTAGCATCGTGGCTAATCACTTCTTCTTCTTCTGTCTTCTCATTACAGAAGCGTGCAGGCTAATCACTTCTTCTTCTTCTGTCTTCTCATTACAGAAGCGTGCAGGCTAATCACTGAAGGCCTTTTCTGTTTGAGGGAAGCGCTCTTCCATCAGACTCATTTACCGCCACTCGTTTAATGCAAATGGGTTTAAGACTCAGGGCTTTAATCTTCGTGTGAGCAGCGACCTGAGACGTTTACCGGAGGGGACTAAAACACTGTGAAGAGGTGAAGAAGTACTCAGATGTGTACTTGAGTAAAAGTAGAAGTACTCAGATGTGTACTTGAGTAAAAGTAGAAGTACTCAGATATGTACTTGAGTAAAAGTAGAAGTACTCAGATGTGTACTTGAGTAAAAGTAGAAGTACTCAGATGTGTACTTGAGTAAAAGTAGAAGTACTCAGATCTTCTACTTGAGTAAAAGTAGAAGTACTCAGATGTGTACTTGAGTAAAAGTAGGAGTACTCAGATGTGTACTTGAGTAAAAGTAGAAGTACTCAGATCTTGTACTTGAGTAAAAGTAGAAGTACTCAGATCTTGTACTTGAGTAAAAGTAGAAGTACTCAGATCTAGTACTTGAGTAAAAGTAGAAGTACTCAGATCTTGTGCTTGAGTAAAAGTAGAAGTACCAGAGTGTAGGAATACTCTGTTACAGTAAAAGTCCTGCATTCAAAATGTTCCTCAAGTAAAAGTAGAAAAGTATTATCATCAAAATATAGTGAAAGTAGCGACAGTAAAAGTAGTCATTGTGCAGATTGGTCCATTTCAGAATAATATATATGATATGTTTTATAATGATTGATCATGAAAGTGTTCTCAAAGCTGGTAAAGGTGCAGCTAGTTTGAATGACTTTGTATACTGCAGGGTAGCTTGTGGATTTACTCCAGGTGGAACTAAAGTCTGATTTAACACTTGATTAGATTTCACATCATTCATCCACATCTGTGAAGTAACTGAAAGTATTAAATACATGTAGTGGACTTTTTGTTTGTATTCCTGGCACTTCCAGAGGCAAAGAGATGTTTCCTTCAAGGAATCAGGGTAACACAAAGAGAGTCATTGAGGTGAAGTATTTCTCTAAATGAAATTCCTGTGGTTTCTTCTCTCCGTGCTGAAAGACTCCAAGCGAACACCTGTTGAGTCTCTGATAAAGAAACCATTATTTTGTGTGAGGTCGTTCATTGAAAGTAAATGTCGCACTTTAAGTGATTTATTTTCTCCATGCTGTCATGTAACTTACATGTGGACCACTTCTTCTTCTGCAGAAAGCCTCAGACATGCAGGCAGGAGCCGTTTGAAACTCATCAAGACTTTTTGAGGCAAGATTTCATGGTAACAGTAACTCGTATATAAACCATCTATATGTGGGGCAAGTGTTCCGTCATCCAAGGCATTTGATCCAGTCTTCATGCTGACAGATCAATTACAATTTGGAGCCCTTTCTCCTGCAGACAGGGCCTCAAACATGCAGGCAGAAGCAGTTTTTTAAACTCGTCGTGCTTCATGGAGGTAAGATTTCATGGCTATAGAAGGCCACTATATTATGTGGGTTAAGTATTTCTACATCTAAACTACATCTGGACCCCTTTCCTCCTGCAGAGAGAGCCTTGAACATGTTAGTCCAGACTTTCCTCTGTTCTCAGGCATGATTTCACGGTGATATGAGGCGACTAACTGATGTACCAACCATCAATATGTGACTGTAAGTATCCCTTCATCAAATGCATGTGATTTAGTCTCCATGCATGTCATCTAAATTACATTTGGAGCCCTTTCTCCTGCAGACAGGGCCTCCAACATGCAGGCAGGAGCAGTTTTTTAAAACTCTTTCATGGCTATAGAAGGCGTGCAACTGATATATAAACCATTATTATGTGGGTGAAGAATTCCTTCATCTAAATGACCCTTTCTCCTGCAGAGAGAGCCTTGAACATGCATTCAGAAGCAGTTTGCAATTCATCAAGACCTTTCTTTGTTTTTTAAATTCTTCGTGCATCGTGGAGTTGAGATTTCATGGTAATACGAGGTGAGTGACTGATGTACCAACCATCAGTATGTGACTATAAGTAGTCCTTCATCAAATGCATGTGATTTAGTCTCATCTAAACTACATCTGGACCCCTTTCCTCCTGCAGAGAGAGCCTTGAACATGTTAGTCCAGACTTTCCTCTGTTCTCAGGCATGATTTCACGGTGATATGAGGTGAGTGACTGATGTACCAACCATCAGTATGTGACTATAAGTATCCCTTCATCAAATGCATCTGATTTAGACTCCATGCATGTCATCTAAATTACATGTGGTGCCCTTTCCTCCTGCAGAGAGAGCCTCAAACATGTTAGTAAATAATTTTCTCTGTTCTCAGGCATGATTTCACGGTGATATCAGGCAACTAAGTCATGTACCAACCATCAATATGTGACTATAAGTATTCCTTCATCAAATGCATGTGATTTATCCTTCAGGCTGTCTTCTAAATGACACGTTCCTCGTGCAGAGAGAGCCTCCAACATGCAGTTAGTCTCGTCAGATAACAAATCAGACTCTGAGTGGGGAGAGAAGCTGCGAGCCTGTGAGCAACACACCAAATGTCCCTTTTACCAAATCTCACTTTTACCGAAACCCCCGGACACAAGCGTCAATTATCAATCATCCATCTTACCGTACAGGATGGTCACCATGGAGACCGGCATGACCAGTATTCCCAACAGCATGTCAGCGACGGCCAGAGACATCAGGAAGTAGTTGGTGGCGTTTTGCAGCTTTTTCTCCAGCGAAACAGCCAGAATCACCAGAATGTTCCCCATCACCGTGAGGGCGATGACGACTAAAATCAGCAACGCCGCCCAGTTCTTCTCCGCCATGCCGTGACACCGAGAAGAGGCGAAGATACGGACGCCATCTTCCCCGTAAAGCCCCTCGAAGTTAGTCCAGTTCTTCATTTGCACATCAAGGATGGCGTCTTTCCCACCAAGACATCCAGAGTTCGTCACGTTCTTTACGCTTTCCTGGAATCCACGTGGAGACCAGGTGTTTGACTCCAGAGAGGAGACGGTTCTCGAGATAAGGTCCGACAGGTTTCCTCCGCCACGCAGGTTCATGGCGAGGGATTTGAGACGAAAACGCTACTCATTCAGCTCCATCAAATCTTCAGTTTTTTTCAAATAGACCTTGCTGAATGAAGTGTTGACTGTGATCCTTTCACCTCTATCTACTTGTCTTTCATCCTAATGCTGTTGATGTGTTGTGATTTTAAAAAAGTGTCTATTATCATCTGGTTGAGGACAACAGCTGGAAAGTTTCGTCATTTGAAACTCACCAAAACAAATCCTTGCTTCACTATTCTTTCCGCTTCATAAAAGCTTCAGTTTTTAATAAATAAACCTCGGTAAGTTGCTGAGAGAGGATCAAGAGCTGAATGATGTCACGACATTAACTCCGACAGGTTCATGGCGTGGGATTTGAGACGAAAACGCTACTAATTCAGCTCAATCAAATCTTCAGTTTTTGCAAAATAAACCTTCCTGAATGATGCGTTGACTCCTCCGATTTGAAGCAGAAACACCTCAGGACTGTCGCCTGGAAAATGGGTCAGAGTGGAGGAGGTAAGAGGAAAGTCTCGTCATCATTTGCGGTTTTGGAAACTCTCCAAAACAAATCCTTGCTTCACTATTCCTTCTCCATAAAAGCTTCAGTTTTTCTAAATAAACCCTCTGTAAGTTGCTGAGTCGTCTTCAGAGAGGATCAGGAGCTGAATGATGTCACGATTTTAACTCCGACGGGATGTGAGACCAGAGCGCCTCAGGAAAGGAGGAAGAAAGAGGAAAGTCTCGTCATCATTTACTCGCCTTATATTTGTGGAGAATCTTCCAAAGAAATCCTTGGCTCACTATTCCTTCAGCTCCAGATATCACCAGTTGTTAAAGCTCTTGGGATATTTCCACATCTGTATCCTAAAAGACAGCAACACAGTCTCCTGGTCCGAATGTAAGAAGAGCTTTGATTTTTGGTGGATCTTTTAGGTTTTCCAGAGCCAATCAGGATCAGATCAGGACTCCTGAGGGACGACAGGTTTCCAGATGAACTCCGACAGGTTCATGGCGTTGGATTTGAGTCAGAAACGCCTCAGGAACGCTGCCTGGAAAATGGGTCAGAGTGGAGGGAGGAAGAGGAAAGTCTCGTCATCATTTACTCTCTTTTATCCCCTCAGGTGAAGCCGTATACATCACACCGCCTATCACTCCTCGGGTAATTGTTTTTTACTCCCGTCAGCCTTGCATCGTGTGACGGAGGATCACAGAGTGAAAACCGTGACACTGACCGAAAAAAACAAAAACAGATCCAGTTTGGTTTCGCTCGAAAAAGCAAATGTTTGGAGTGATCTTGACTCGCATGTTTTCAGTGCCTCTCATCTTCTGATTATAGAATCTGTTTGATGTCCTGCAGGTTTCCCATCCTTGAAGTCTGCACTCATCATAAAAACATCAGGCCCATCTGAAGTCTGCGAATCGTACAAATCTAACAATCTCCTCCACTTTCACTGCATTAGCTTCCTCAAAGGTTCATGGATCTTTGTCGCGGATGTGTTAAGTATACCTGTGCAGAACACTCTCTAACTGTGTGTGTGTGTGTGTCTCTGTGTGTGTGTGTGTGTGTGTGTGTGTTTGTGTGTGTGTGTGTGTGTGTGTGTGTGTGTGTGTGTGTGTGTGTGTGTGTGTGTGTGTGTGTGTGTGTGTGTGTGTGTGTGTGTTCACCAATGTGTGTGTAAATCCTCGGGTGTCCTTGTTGTCTCGTCCCTGCACCTGTGAGAGTGCGTTGGCAGATTGATGATAAACATGATGATATTTGACGTATTAGTGTGTGTGTGTGTGTGTGTGTGTGTGTGTGTGTGTGTGTGTGTGTGTGTGTGTGTGTGTGTGTGTGTGTGTGTGTGTGTGTGTGTGTGTGTGTGTGTGTGTGTGTTACCCTAAAACTAACTTTCTCCCCTCTCTTCACACACACTCACTGTTCCGATAAGAAACTCCTAAAGATCCTAGATTGTGTCAACACTCCTGAGATGTTCAATATCTCCCTTCTCCTTGAATGATCCCTCCATGAGAAAATGTCAGCAACTCTCCAAAAAAAATCTTTAGTTCAGTTTTCTTTCTGCTCCATAAAATCTTCAGTTTTTTCAAAATAAAGCTCTTGGGATATTTCCACATCTGTGTCGTTAGAAGACAGCAAACAACGAGAGGAATACGTCTCCTGTTTTGAGCTTTGAGGTGTATTTGAGGTTTCCAGAGAGCGTGGGGAAGTTGCTGATCCGTCTTCAGAGAGGATCAGGAGCTGAATGATTTCTGCTGCCTCCCTCCTCACATGCTGCCTCCCTCTCTCCCCCCTCTGGTATCTTATTGGCTCTCTCTCTTTCTCTCTCTTTCTCCCTCTTTCTCCCTCACACTCATTGCATCCCGTTTTTCGCTGATTCTGTACTCGACTGCACTCCCTTTATCTCCCCCGTGCCTCTGAAGTCCATTTCAATTTAGTAGTAGTGCACATTTTATCTACATTTTGAGAAATTCTGCAGAAGAAAAAGCTAATGAATGAAAGGGCTCAAGCAAATGGAAATGTGCCAGATTTAGCCAGAGGTTCATTTGCATCTGCATTCCCTGGCAGGTTAATGGCACTAAAATCACAAAAATACATTCAGTCACAACTCACAGCACATATAAAGCACATCTCACAATGAGAAGCCCTGATACACAAAGCCATGATCACACAACAGAGGATAAAAGCTAATGTGCACAGACAATATGAAAACTATGTTGTGTCGGTCCAAATTTAGCTCAGATTTTGACTGATTTCCTAAAAACGGAGCTGTTGATACTGTAATGTTTACCACCTCATTACTGCTCTGTTGTTGTGACGTTACGTCTGTGAATCAGAGATACAGGGTTTCATGAGTTAATCAGGTTAGATGTTTTGTGCACCAATCAATCCTCAAATTAAACACAGAGTTTTATCCCAGGTCAAATAAAGGGTCCTTTTGTTTTCAGTGACCGTATGCCAACGTCTGTTTCCGTGTATCTTTTTCATTTTAATCTTCATTTTATGATCATTTGTATTGAAATAACATGGCACAAAGAACACACATTTTGTACATCAATGGGGCTACAGTTACAAATGTTACAACAGTCAAAAACAACCACTGATCTGCTTCCATTATTACTATCGTACATCAATTGTAAAGCCATACATAGTCGGCCTTCACTTGAAGGCGTTCAATATTTATAGCACATTCAAAACCTGAATAGACCAGTGAGTTACAGTGATGTATAAACCGACAGAAAACAATCAATAATAATATTAGTCATAATAATGAAACTGTGACGATCTTAGTTTTATGTCACAATTTTAGTTTTGTCTGTCTTGTCATGGGTTTTATTTTGCAATTCTGTTCTCCCTGGGTGTTTCTCAATCTCGAGTAAAGCTGCTCCAGAGCCACTATTTCAAGCATACTACGTCATTGAGTGCCGCCGAAGTACTGTTCCAATCTCCAGCATACTTGGAAATCTACCGAGCCCGGCGTACTCCGTTTGGAGAAATATCGAGGATGCACATGAGTAGACTCCGCAGTCTTAAAATCCCCACAATGCTTTGCGCACGGACCAATTTCCCCAAATCTGTGGCGGAAGATGTAAGAGGCGGGGCCTCTCATATGACGCACACCTGCACACTTGCTAGCCTGTTCCACTCTTCGTTTTCCAAATGCCAGGAAGTATTCTTCACTCGCTTCTGAAGCAAGATGCTCAACAGACATGTGCTACCAAGCAAGCGTACTCGCGATTGAGAAACACCCCCTGTGTCTGGTCTTCCTTCCTGTGTTTGCCCTCCTGTGTCTGATGGTCTGATTGTGTTCACCTGTTGCCCTTGTGTTTCTGCCTCCCTTGCCCAGCTGTGTCTTGTCCTGTGATTACCCTTCTTTGTATTTAGTCTTGTCTTCCCCTGTGCTCCATGTCGGCTCATTGTCTTTCCTGTCTCCCCCCATGTTGGTCACGGTCAGTTTTTCGTCTAGATGCTACCTTCTCCGATCCTTTTGTACGAACAAAGGGAACCGAGTCGCAATCTTTTTATTGTCGTGCCTAAAAATATAATTTCCTGACTTTCTGCACCTTCCTGTAGGAATCTCTGACTACACCAGAAAGTTGTTAAACCCCACTTACTGCTGGATTGAACCATTGCATTTAAACAGTATTTATTTCGTTAACCTGGAGACTGTTGCAATCGAAAAATAAAAAAATGGTTGCTCCTATAAACTGTGCGGTGGAAATGTACGCAACTCACCATGTGACCTCACCTTTATGGTGGTCTGTAATAGTATCTTTAACCGTAATGAAGTCAAAGCCAACTTTATTATCAATTTCAATTTAGAAAAATAGCATTAAATGGTTGTCCGGTAGACTAGACTTCTAAACGGATGAATACATGACAATGAATGGGTTACTTCTTCATCTAATGGTGAGTCTTCTAGTGTCTATATACGCCGGGATCCGGAGTCATGGCTGATCGTGTTGCTGTGGTCCTGAGTCCTGGATCGCGAGCCCTGGATCTTGAGTCGTGGCTGTGCCTGCTGCTGTGGTCCTGGATCATAAGTCCTGGATGGATATCCTCGTGGATTCATCTTCTTATTATAGACACATGCATTTCCAAACATTTGGACTACCTATGTTGTAAACAGATGGGTGTAACGCGTTACAAAGTAACGCGTTACTGTAATAATATTACTTTTGTCGGTAACGGAGTAGTGTAACGCGTTACTTTTATAATTCAGTAATCACACTACAGTTACTAACATTGCCCCGACACGCGTTACTTCGTTACTTTTATAAAATCAGTCTTAATCACACTGACAGACAAGAGGGGTTTCCGCCGCAGGTTTATATGTACGTAATCTGCGCGACTTGCGCGTCCACATCTCCACGTGCAGTGCTGCATAAACATGGCAGAGTCAGCGATAACTTTCGAGGGGTGGAGGTATGCCCATTATTTTGAGTTCGTCCGAAGAATAGACAGGAATGTGACGGTGAGGTGCAAACTGTGTCCAGGCCAGAAGCTGTTATCCACT